CTGCCATTGATTTGTACAGGCTGCTGGAAGTCACTCTTCGCACACACTCGGATAGATTTACTAAAACTGGTGCACACAGAATCTGGTGCAGCTCTGCATAATACCCAATCAGCTTCTAACTTCCACTTTTTCAATTAAAGTGTTTCTAAACCCAGTTCTCTCTGCATTCACTATATCTGGTCTCCCTCAGTACATAGAACATGAAAGTGCAATTATTTTAGTAACTATAAGCTGCTAAATACCTTTTTCTTATCAGCAGTTAGAGCAGTCTTGTGACTTCTATCAGTGTCCAGCCAACATGTTAAAGCTTGTAGGAGGAGTTTATTCTGTTCTAGGAGGATGCAGAACCCCTGCCCCACTGTCTGGACAGTGCTGATTGGCCCTGTGCTGATCACATGCACTCTTCCAAGAAAAAAAAACTCTCTAGCGATACACACCAAACTGAACATGTGCAGTTTGCCCCCAAGGCTCTGTTCTATCAGCAGATGGATTGGGGGAGAGTAGAAGGGGAGGATCAGAGAAGACAGGATCAAACAGTCTTTTTACACAATGCAGAGGATTAACCCCTTAGGTTCCACAGTGAGTATAACAAGCATGCTTTACTGCATATACAGACTGATTTTACTATTGTAGGATTAGTAACAGTTTAAGCTTTGGCATTAAAACCTGGAAGCTGATTTGGTTTCTATGCAGAGCTGCACCAGATTTTGCACTCTCCATGCCTGTCGGTGAGAATCGCTCCAAGCAGTTACATTAATATAGAGCCTCTGCCTGGTCCTGGATGCAGTTTGGAGTAGATTTATGAAAACTGAAAGGTGCAGAATCTGGTGCAGCTCTGCATAGAAACCAATCGGCTTCCAGGTGTTATTGCCAAAGCTTAACTGAACAAGCTGAAGTTAGAAACTGACTGGCTGCACCGAATTCTGAGTGCTCCGGTTTTAGTAAATCTCCCCCTTTGCGTCCAGGGACCATGTTTCTGGCTGTACACAAACTGATCATTTACTGTGAGTTTGCTTATAGCACATCATGCTGCTGCATCCATAGGTGGCTATTGACCACCTCTGAACAACAACTGACTATGCGGCCTTCATCGCCTGTCTGAACGAGCCATAAAGCTGGCCATAGATGAGTAGTGTTTTTTTTTTTTTTTTTTTTTTGTTTTTTTCAGCCAGGAGGCTGAAATGAAAAAAATCTAACAGGTTCCTCCATCCACACAGAAAAGGTAGATGGAGGAATTTTCCCTCTGGGACATTGTATTCTGACAGCGGGACCCCCACTGTCATAATAAACTGATCAGTGGCTGCAGCTGCTTAACGATAAAAGCTTTCCAGCAGGTCCCTTTTCAACAAAGTCAATAAATGTCACAATTAAATTACATTGCTTATATAATGAAAATTAAAAATCTGAAATGTTCTATTCCGCTTCTTTTACTTTTATTTCTTTATTCCTTAGGATCAAGTTCTTCAGGCCCTGAGCTTTCGCAACACTTTTTCTAGCCGTCCTTTTCTACCATCAAATCTCATCCCTGCGGAAAAAAGGATTGTATGTATTTTATGTGTAAAGATGATGATTTTATGGCAGTTTCTAGCCTTTTACACAAATGTAACAAAGACGTGTTACATGCACATCAAACTTGGAGATATAGCTGAGAAATAACAAGGATTTGGTTACATAGAGAGAGTGTTCATTTATAGTCAAACTAGAAAAGGAGTTTCCTATAAATTCTCTACTCAAGTTGTAAACATCCCCAAAATTAAGGTTTAAAATATCTATAGGCAAAACTTGGATGAGTTCCCTTTCACTTTCTGTTTTTGCCTATGGGGCAGGAAATGAAGGGAAGTGTACCCAGTGGGACGCAGATCGCATAAAAACTTGACAGGGGGTATATCCCTTCCTCTATCCAAAATGGAAATAAAACATTTTGCCTTCTGGTTCTACTTTAATTTCCGTTAATAGTGCAGAAAAAACATTTTTAGCTTTGTGTTGTGTGTGTTTTTTGTTTTTTTTGTTTTTATTACCCTGTACAAGGCAAATGATAGTTTTTTGTCTGGTGTTGGTCTTTAAAGCGCATAACAAGGCTATTTCCATTTATTCTTAAATTTGTTGCCTCCCTGCATCATCCTACCTATGCTGCATAACCTGTATAAAAAGATCTGTGTACCCTTTTTTTTTTTTTTTTTTTTTTTTTTTTTTTTGTAATCCTGTTCAGTCCGGTCATGTGATCCAGAAGCTGGTCTCCCCTGTGTCTGTGAGCGACTGCTGCAGGGGAGAGGAGGGAGCAGTGGGAGCCTATGGGTGACATCATGTCTCTGGGAATTCACAGCCGTTATCAAGCTTCTCTTACACTGGGGAGCCGCAGCTGCTGGATCATGTGACCTGGATTAAAAATAGGTATTTACACAGATATTATTTTTTATTACATAGGTTATGCAGCATAGGTAGGAGGATAGGGTAGGCAGCATTTTTGAAGAATAATTGTAATTTTCCTTTGCTACCACTTTAGGTGTTCTGGTTCTGCTATGGTCATATGATGGCTGTAAAAGGAACTGGTCATGTAGGAACTATGGTAACTGTTGCTAAGCTCTCATTTTGAAAATGCTAACTTCGTGCTTTCTGCTTTCTCTAGTACTTTAAATGGTTGATCTAGACATGCAAAGGACAAATGTTTTTTACTTTTTTTTTTTTTTTTTTTTAGATCTGTGTGGTCATTAGAGATCAGTGAACCAGGGGGCCTATTCACAGCTTTTCAGTCTGTTATAATGTATGTGTTAATGTGCATTATGTTACTCACAAATTATTTTTACGTCAAGGCAGCCTATTCATTTGAATTTTCTGGCAGTGCACCGCAACACACAAAAAATTAAAACTCACCATTATTTGTAACAGCACACCACAACGTACTGTACAGTTCTTTTACCATGCAGTGCTCTGCAATTGAAGTTCATTCGTTTAGTGCTTTGGAGTGCCATTAAAAACTAATTTGTGTATGGTGCGTTTTGGTAATCTGTGAATTACTGTAAATGGGCCTTTAACCACTTGCCTATCGGGCACTTATACCCCCTACCTTACCAGGCCAATTTTCAGCTTTCAGCGCTGTCGCACTTTGAATGACAATTGCGCTGTCATGCAAGATTGTACCCATATGAAATTTTTATCATTTTTTTTTTCTCATAAATAGAGCTTTCTTTTGGTGGTATTTAATCATTGCTGGGTGTTTTACTTTTTTGCGCTATAAACAAAAAGTGCAAAAATTAAAAAAAAAAAAAAGTTATTTTTGTTTCTATTATAAAATTTTGCAAACAGGTAATTTTTCTCCTTCACTGATGTGCGTTGATGAGGCAGCAGTTATGGGCACTGATAGGCAGCACTAATGAGGTTTGCTTGGATAAGCGGCACTGATGATGGGTACTGATAGTCAGCACTGATAGGCGGCACTGCTGGGCATTGACTGGCACAATTGCTGGTCACTGACTGGTGGCACTGACTGGCAGCACTGCTGGGCTGCACTGATGGGCACTGGTGTGTGGCACTACTGGACACAGGTGTGTGGCATAGGTGTGTGGTACTGCTGGGCACTGGTGCGTGGCACTGGTGGGCACTGGTGGGTGGCACAGGTGGGTGGCACTGATGAAGCACAGGTGGGCGGAGCTGGTGGGTGGCACAGGTGGGCGGAGCTGGTGGGTGGCACTGCTGGGCACCAATCATCAGTGCCCTGATGATCGGTGCCGATCCCTGCTCTGACAACTGCCGGTTCTCGGCAGTACTTTCTTCGCGCTTTTGACAGCGTGAGGAAAGCGCAGCCAAGAACCGGCAATTGCATTTCCCTGTGATCAGTGTGTCATTGGACACGGTTGATCACGTGGTAAAAGGCCCAGGGGCGCGCAGCAGAGCGCGTTTTGGGAGGACGTCATATGATGCCCTCCCAGAACTGGCCGGCCGCAGTGTAGCCGTCATTCGGCTATCTGCAGTCGGCAACTGGTTAAAAGCGTAACTGTGTACTTTTTTTTTTTTTTTTTTTTTCCTCTACTCACACCCCCTTTCAGTCTAATATAATCAATGACAAAACAAAAAGCCTTGAGTAGAACAAAGTCATGGGGTCAGCCTTTACTTTAATCTCTGAGTTCTCTCTGTTGCAGAAAGCACTCCATGGCATATTGAAGACTCCACACTGTAGCCTGTATTTAATGAATGGGCCACAAAAGCACAGTGTAGATAAACCTAGTAATGTATAGTCCAGTACTGACCGCAATATCCAAAAAAAGCGTACGGAGAAGCGTACGATCTTGTCATCTGGTAAGGTGCATAAGATAAGAGGTGGCGGTCAATGTGCACACTAGCACTGGGAGTTTGTCAGGAGGGGAGCACGAGCAGAGTGAAAGTATTTTTGTGATACAATAATATATGCGATTCCTTTTGGAGGTATATTTCCTATGCGAAGGCAGACAGATTTAGGAACCTAACCACAAAGGAAGATTGTGTGGAAATTTTTTTTTAATTTACAAGAGGGTAAGAGTTGGGATGGTTAAAGGTGTACACACGGTGGAGTGGATTTTGCACACATTGGCATTTTTGTAAATGAGTTTTCCTATGTTGAATATCATGCGTTGTAGATAATGCACTATATGCGATTTTTATATTTTTTTTGAGGGCACTAAGAGGAGGAAGAGGATTCTGTTGGCACTTGTGGAATAAGAATATGCACTAAAAAAATATTTCCTCCCTGTGTGCTGCTATAATATCACTGGTTGTTTATTTTTTATACAGAGACACTGAATAAAAGTTGGACACTTTCAAGAAAGTGTTTTTTGATCATATTTCTTATTTTGGTTTATTATTTTGTGTCATCACCTAGTATTATACCGATTGCATTACTTTATTCATTTATTAAAATAGCTGTAGTAGACAAATGTATTAAAGCAGAATTCTATCACAAATGATAGGAGATAGTGTAATGACTACTGTTTATTTTCTTATTCTCTCAGAGACTTATGAAGGATATCTGTGAAATCACATGGCCCTTCGTGGAGGATGACACTGGGTGTGTGACACGTCTGGAAGATGGCAGTGTAAAGGTTTCCTCGGTAGATGGACATGCCCATTTCTACATGCCCATCTCCCAGCAGGAGTTCACTGTGGAGTTTTTATGTCAGCTCAGCTGTATCCCCACATCACAGAACAAAGAGAAACCAGTGAGTAGTGATCCAAACCCAGCAAATGATAAAACTAGAGACCGTAAAAGATGGAAATATTCCTCCTGTGTGCTGCAAGAAGACTCCCAGTCATGTGTGACAAAGCATGCCTTCGAGTATACGTGGCTGGTGCAGCGCTACTCTACAGCATCCTGTCCACTGTCATTCCAACATCCCATGAACTTAGCTCTTCGTTTCCATGGACAGTCCACACATAAGAGATACAGAGGGATCTTCAGATACTTGTACAATTATTGATGACGATGAATGCTCCAAACATCTCAGAAAAGGAGCTGTATCTGTTTTACCACGTGCCATGCCTCTCAGCTGTCCTGCACCACACATGCACAGGTACCCTTTTTCAGTTGTTGTTCTACCCTGTGTATTGCCTGATGCTCTCCACAGGGCCATATTATACTAAAGTTAACCGGAGTTTGGACCTCTGTTGAGTACGTATGCGTGATCAGACCTTCAACAGTCTACAAAGTTAGGAGAGTGTTTCAATAGCTTGTCAGCTCATGTCTGCTGACATAAATAGAGAAAGCATGCATCAGAGTAGTGTCTGCAGATATGAGTTTGAAGGAGGGGAATAATGACAATTAGAATGGGTATTCAAATGTGTATGATTGCTGGTTCCCTCCTGACAGGATCTGTCTGGTGGCATCTGTGTCCATCTAGTGTATTGAAATAATACCCAACATTACAAAAAATTGGCTGATGTGCTTGCCCCTCACCTTGCCGCTATGTTCAATGCGGTGAAGGGAGGTTCAAAACTTTTCCCCTGACTCTTTGACTGCTAATGTGGTTATGATCCCCAAACTGGATCGGGATCATTTCTCCTGGGCAAATTACAGACCAATTTCTCTTATTAACATTGACATGAAAATCCTCACTAAGATCTTAGCCACTCGTTTGAATTCTTTCCTTTCTCGCTTGATTAAGAAGGATCAGGTGGGTTTCGTCCCCCACAGACAAGCCGGAGATGCCATCAGACGTATTATACAGTTACAACATTTGGCCCATACTCGCAAAATTGATATGATGCTCCTATCTCTAGATATCAACAAGGCCTCTGACACCTTGTCCTGGCCTTATCTTAGGTCGGTCCTTCATCATTTTGGCTTTGGTCCCTTGTTCTTGCGTTGGATTTCCTCGCTATATACATCCCCTCAAGCAAAACTGAAATATTATGGTTTTGAGTCTTCAACGTTTTCATTGGCAGGGGAACTAGACAAGGTTGCCCGCTTTCTCCCATACTATTTATCTTGGCTTTGGAACCTTTGGCAGAAAGCCATTTGTATGCATCCTGATATTAAGGGAATAGATGTAGCTGGTTCCCAACACAAGTTATCTATGTTCGCTGACGATATATTGTTGTTGGTTACGAACCCGGGGGTTACTTTGCCAAACTTACTTGCGGTTTTGGATTCCTTTGCAGTTCTCTCAGGCCTCCATGTTAACCCTGCCAAGTCCAAAGCTATGTCAATTATCCTCTCACCATCACTTTTGGAGACTCTGAAACATTCATTCCCTTTTCAATGGCTTTCTGCCTTGCCGTATTTAGGAATCAAGCTTACTCCAACTTACGAAGGACTTTACCGGGCTAATTTCCCCACTGTTTTTAATGACTTGACGGAGTTGTTGTCCTCCTGGTCTCACTATCCGCTTTCGTGGTTCGGTAGAATCAATGCGGTCCACATGACTTATCTTCCCAAATTATTGTACGTGTTTTGAGTTTTACCAGTCTCTGTTCCCTCACATATATTGCGTATTCATCAGTGAACACTCCTGTCTTTCATTTGGAGTTCCTCTCAGCCCAGAATCAGCAAACAGATATTATTTGCTCGTAGGACCGAGGGTGGGTTATCTGTCCCAAACCTTCAGTCTTACTATCTGGCGGCCAATAATTGCCCCCCTAGCCCATCTCCATGCATCTCACCATTTTCCCTTGTGGGCTACTGTAGACTTGATGGACTCCCACCCGATTCCACTCTCTTCTCTACCATGGTTTCCTTCTACTCATCGACCCTCATCCCTTAGTCTGACGATAACGCTCCGTCTTTGGGACTCTATTAAATATTCAGCTGGCCTCATTTCTGCCCATTTACCGTTATTACGGTTGCTACACAACCCATTATTTCCCCCCAGGTCGTGACAATCCTGGACAGTTTGCTTGGTGGCAAGCAAATGGCTTTCATGATATACATTCCATGCTCTCTCCCCACTCGGATACTCGCCTTTGAAACTCTGCGCTCTTCTTACAATATCCCATCGCGGGGAACATTTTGGATACCTTCAACTCCGCCACTTTATCAGTACATTAATACAGACACATTCGGGACCCTACAGGTTGACCCCCTTTGAAAGTCAATGTAGACATAGACCCCATGCTTCGGGCTTAATTTCTCTAGTCTACTCTTCCATTATTTCTCATAGGACTCCTCCAGTTTGTTCTTATCAGCGTTGGCAGTCGGAACTCGGGGGCACTCTAGATCAGCAGGATTGGCGGATGAACTTTATAATGGTCAACGAAAAGTTGACAGCTATACTGTTAGACACCCATACAAAATTTTTTACAGACATGGCGTCCTTGGCTTGATATAGCTCAACCATCGAGATTCGACCAGTCCCTCTTGTTGATATAAACCTTATATACCAGTTTATTTTTTTTCTCTGCTGCGGTCCCCCTGGAGCCCCCCCCCCCCCCCTTCTTTTTTTTTTTTTTTTTTTTTTGTTTGTTTGTCTTCTTTCTCTTTGCTCTTTTCTTTCCTCTTGTCTAGTCTGTCTTCTTCAGGCTATTTGTGCTGATTGTGATTCCTGTTTTGAGCCCCGTACCAGCAACACTGCTTCCATGTGCTGGACTCCTTAGAGAGCCTTGCGTGTTAAGTACCTCTCTTTATTCAGAGAGGTTCCTTCTTCTATTCTTCTAGCATGCTGTATGCAGATACAGTAACAATTTTTTCCTTAGAGTTCATTATGTTGGTCTCTAAATGTCTATCATTTCTGAAATTTATTGTGTTTTCTTCCTATATGGCACTTATGTACACAGTTTATTTTCATGCTTTCTCATCAGTACATATTCTGTATTATTCATCGAATCCTTTGTATGTTATATTCCTGCTGGTCATTGCATATGTTTTTGACTGATTCTCTGCTGTTTCCTATTCTATAATAATCTTTGTAAAAGAAATAATACCCAACAAACCCATCTCTTCACTCACTGAACAGTAGACACCCGTTAAGATATACAGTTACTGCTTTTGCACCTACCTACTGCTCCGATCATAGCTGGTGCCCTTCTGAAATTTACAAAGTATGAGACACGTGCATGCTCTACGACTTCCTAAAATGCAGTGCATTGCTGCTTCAATTCCGAAGTCTGAGCGCCACCACTTAGGAGCGTGCACATCACAGTGCAATAAACGACTATCAGAAAAAAGCCAGTTTTTGAGCAAATCTTTGAAGGGGCACCAGTGGCAGTCGGATTAATGGATGGGATCAGAGGTGGTGTAAATGAGAGTTAGAGGGTTTCTTCTATTTTTGTTTAGTATACGTCCACCTAAAGGACAGCCACAAAACAGATATCCACTGAAAACATCATGGTGATCCTCTTCATCCTCAGACCTGTTGGGATATACCTTGCAATGAACACTTACATTGTTAACTCCTTCTTTCTCTACAGTAAGGGCTCCCATTGATTGCACAGAGGTTTTTGAAGTAAATTGGAAATTCTTTTGTGTGCAATAAGGGCTTCTTGTGTTTGAATGATCTTATTTTTCCCTCATAAAGAAGCCCTTCTTGTCCTAAGCTACACTCCGCAAGCATCACTTGCTGAAATGTGCATTTATATAGTGCACAATATTTATATAGTGCCAACAGTTTGTTTAGCGCTTTACAATAAAACGGGAGACAATACAGCAACAATGCAGTTCAATACAAGAGGGTTAGGAGCTTACAATCTAGGAGGGAGGGGCTAGTGGTACAAAAGGTAATAACTGTGGGTGATGGACTGGTAGGAGGAATAGAAGATTCCATTGTTAGCTGAGGGCAGGATAGGCTTCCCTGAAGAGAGGTTTTCAGAGATTGTCTAAAAGTGAGCAGCGTAGGCAATAGTCTGATAAATTGGGGAAGAGAGTTCCAGAGGATGGGGGAAGCTCTGGAGACGAGCATGGGAGGAGGAGACAAGGGAGCTAGAGAGCAGGAGGTTGTGCGAGGAGAGTACGGTTTGGGTGATATTTGGAGACAAGATTGGTGATGTCATTTGGGGCAGAGTTATAAATGGCTTTATACGTTATTGTTAGTGTTTTGAATTTTATCCGTTGGGCAATGGGAAGCCAGTGGAGGGATTGGCAGAGAGGGGTGGCAGATACGGAACGGTTAGTAAGGTGGATGAGTCTGGCAGCAGCTTTCATGATAGACTGAAGAGGGGATAATATCCTTGTATTCTGATATTCTAAATGATAAGAATATCATCATATTCTTAAATTATTGAATCCAGTATGGGGGCTGTAATTTTTATTTGATATGACAAAAACACACTTGAAGTTCATATTGGCTATTTTTCTATTTCCATTGCCGACTTTAGGTGAAATTCTCAAATATATTTTCTATTTTAGATGGAATTTTTCTAATTTCACTTTGGAACAAGAAGATTTTCTGACAGCTCATCCTCTGCCTTTAAAAGTGGTGATTTTCAATGGTGTCCTTTACAGGTTAGATGTGTTGCTGACTATATAGCATTTTAAAATCCTCTTTTATGCTATCCAGATATCTAGCAAATATATATGCAAATTCAGCGAACATCCTACAGATCATAATGGTCTGCTTGAATGGTGTGTTATGTTGGTGTGGCGTTGCATTTGCCATCTGCGCTGTGCTGGAACATACGGAGGTTAGCATGGCTGGGTGTTGGTACTATCACTGTGAAGTTACTGTCATACCTGTGGAGGGGGGGGGGGGACCTCCCCAGCAGAGTAATAGACATGTTGAAAGACTTAAAGGGCCATTCCTGTCTGCCCATGTCACTCCCTAAGTAACAGGTGTTTTAGGCAAACCTGAGTCCATCCAGAACTGATATATATAGGTAGTGGATGGTTTCTCATGAGTTGAATCAGCAGGAACCATGAGACTTCTATTTCTGCACAGTGCAACCTATTGGAAGAGTAATAAGCACTCTTATAGGGAATCAAACCACCAGTGTCTGTCAATAATTGAAATATATGTGCTATACGAAGAGACCCTTTAATACTGTATTCCTTATAGTCTACAGTGCTAACACTGATGAGGAATATTGATTAAGCACATGGTTGTGTGAAATACAGTAGCTAGAGTATAGGGGTAAAAAAGTATTCAGCACAAGTGTTAATGGTTATAATTGCCTTTAATACTATACTCTACTCCAGGGCTTGAAATTTCCACTCGCCTGCTCGCCAATGGCGAGTGGAAATTATGGTGGGGGCGAGTGTCCCCCAGGGCCGTCTTGCTGAACAGGCTCAGAGCTCAGGCCGGATCTGTCATTGGCACTGGGAGCCGTCAGACTGCTCAATAGCTGAGTGCAGTGAAAGCAAAGCAAGGAGTGTGTGCTGTGCTCTCTGCCTCCCCCTAGAGTGCAGTACCCGGATCTGTGAGTGAACAACTAAGTACTGCAACTTTTTATGGGGGGGCGGGTGGTGGTGTGTTTGTGTGTCTGTCTATTCATGTACAATTTTGTGTGTGTGTGTGTGTGTACAGGTGTCTGTTTGTGTGTGTTTTGTTGGTGGTGAGTAACTCCTAAGGCCTGGCTAGTAACTCAGGACTTGAAATTTTAAGCCCTGCTCTACTCCAACTTTAGGCACATGACATCACTGGTATTCTTCTAAGCTATTTTTTCATCATTATCATGACTTATATGTAAACTTGATCATCTATTTTAGGTTCAATATGGATGACACTCTCTCAGTGGAAATATACCCAGGAGATGGATCTGTTTTTTGTTCACAGGGAGAGAACGTCGGAAAATATTTCAGGCATTGCTTCATTAATAAAGAGATGGGACAGGTAATATATAACAGGTGCACTTTCATGAAGAATACTTTAGAAGGGCGGGGTCTAATTATTTACCACTTTCTGGGGCTCTGTGGCCAGATCTCTGCCCCAGCTCCACCCATCTGCTGTAGACTGTGTCAGATATGGCTGTCTCCCTTTCCTTTCTGAAATGTTTGCTTGTTTTTACAGATACTTCAGCAGGAGTTGTGAGACTCAAGCTATATGCTGACTATGCTCTATTGCCCTCTAAACAAACTCACACTTTTTATTATTACATCAGGGGTATAGCCGATGCAGCTAGCTTTTTAGCAAAGGTTTTTTTTTTTTTTTTTTTTTTTTTAAATAAAGTAATTTATTTATCAAAGTATTAAACATCTGTATTTTTTGTATATAATAAAAAATCTGATCCATTTTAAAATATTCTTGCTATGTGGAAAAATAATTTCTGTGCAAAAACATTTTATCATTCTTATAGGCCCATAGATCTAAAGAGACCCATAGACATTCAAAGGTCTTGAGGCCAGAGGTGAGAAGAGAGGATCAAAGTTTTTCTGGTGCCACTAGTTAAAAAGGCTTAAACAAACCAAAGTTTATGTGCTAAGAGGTATATCTATAACCATTAAGTCAGCGGCTGTATGAAAACCTAAATGGTACAATACAGTGGATATAGAAAAGAATCGCCTTACCTTTTAAAATGACATTTTGTTGCTTTGCAGCCTGAAATGAAGACAGTTCTTCTTTTATCAAGCTATATTTACTCAGTGCAACTTGTAACATCCAAATGAAAGATCTAACGCCAACATGTCAGAAAAATTAAACAGAATCACTGAGTTGGAAAAGGGATCAACCCCCTTGTGTCAGTATTTTTGTTTTGGTTTAATTCCAGTCTTTAGTCTGTTGGGATATGTCTCTACTAACTTTGCACATCTAGACCTTGCAATATTTGCCCACTCTTCTTTGCAGAACTGCTCAAGTTCAGTTAAATTTGATGGTGACCATTTGTGGACTGCAGTCCTAAAGTCACTCCACAGATTTTCAATGGGGTTTAAGTCTGGGCTGGGCTCTGACTAGGCCATGCAAGGACACTCACCTTTTTTCTCCTTCAATCACTGTGTGGTTATTTTTGCTGTGTGCTTTGGGTCATTGTCATGTTGGAAGGTAAACCTTCTTCCCATTGACAACTTTCTGGCAGAGGGCAGCACATTTTCCTCAAGCATTTGATGGTACTTTGCCCCATCCGTTTTTCCTTCCATCCTGACAAGTGCTCCAGTCCCTGCTGCAGAGAAACACCACCATAACAGGATATTACCACCTCCTTGCTTTACTGTAGGAATGGTGCTATTTGGATGGTGAGCTGGATTGGATTTCTGCCAGACATATTGTTTAGTGTTGAGGCCAGATAATTCAGTTTTAGTGTCCTCTGACCAGGACACCTCCCACATTTGTGGATAATTTGTGATATTGTCAGATCACCAATTCACAAAAAGAATATTGGGGAACTGGAGTAAGTGCGGAGAAGGACAACCAACCTGATGAGAGGCATGGAGAAGCTCCGCTATGGGGAAGGATTAAAAGAATTGAATTTATTCTCTCTTGAGAAGAGGAGATTAAGGGGGGGATATGATCAACATGTATAAATACATCAGTGGTTCATATAGTGAACTTGGTGTAGTTATTCACCTTTAAGGTCATTAGAGGATGGGGGGGGGGGGGGGCTTTTTACGTCTGGAGGAAAAGAAATTTAATCCCCAAATATGGAAAGGTTCCTCACAAATAAGACCTGTGAAAATGTGGAATAGACTCCCTCAAGAGTTGGTTCTGGTCAGCTCAGTAGATTGGTTTAAAAAAGGCCTGGATTCTATCCTAGATACACAGAATATAACTGAATACTAATATTTTAAGTTTAAAGTTGATTCAGGGAACATCTGATTGTCTCGGGGGGGGGGGGGGGGGGGGAATTTTTTCTTTTTCCTCTGCAGGAGCAAATTGGATCATGCTTTGCTGGGGTTTTTTTTATTTTTTTGCCTTCCTCTGGATTGGATCAACTGTGAATATAGGATTATAACTTTTTTTTTTTTTTTTTTTTTTTTACTAGATGTACTGTCTTTTTTCAGCCCGACTAACTGTGTAATATGCACACAATGACCACCTTGTCATAAATTTCTGCAACTGCTTCACTGATGTAGGCCTGTAGTTTACAGCGATATCCTGATCCAGGGAGGGTCTTGGTTGTACCAAATACCTTCCACTTCTTAATAAGATTTCATTGTGCTTCTAAACATTAATCAAGCCTTTGAAAAATGTTTGTATCCATCTCCTGCCTTGTGCCTTTCCACAGCTTTATCCAGGAGATCTTTTGACAGTGCCTTACCACCCTTAGTTGGTTGATTGCTTCAGTTGCAGTACCAGGAACTGAAAAGTCAGTTGGCTTTGTGTTCCATTTGAGAAGGTGATTAACTGCACCTGATTTAGTTTACAAGTCATTTTTAGGAGGGAGTGATCCTTTTTCCAACCCAGTCATTCTGTGTTTTTTTTTTTTTTTTTGGGGGGGGGGTTCTGACATGTTGGTATTACCGTATTTGCTGGCGTATAAGACGACTTTTTGACCCTTGAAAATCTTCTCAAAAGTCAGGGGTCGTCTTATACGCCGGTACACATGTTTAGGGGGGCTGCGGCATTAAGTACAGGGGTTTGCAGGGGCTGATGTCTCTTACCTGGATCCAGTCCCACGACGATCCGGTCCAGGAAGCGCGGCGTCTCCTTCAGTTCGGCCACTGGATGTTCGTGCGGCTGCTCGGCTCCGCCTCCTCACCGGTGATTGGCCGCCAGAACTGTAGCTCAGGAAAGGCACACAGGCGGCCAATCACCGGCGATGGGGGCGGAGCCGAGCGGCCCCGCGAAAATTGAGTGCCGGAGCAGCAGGTAAGTGTTCTGTGTAGAGGTGCTGCTGCAACCACATATGCTGGCTGCAGCAGCACCATACGAGAACAGGGTCAGCAAGTCTCAGTGGGAGGAATAGTGCCCCATCATTGGTGTCACTGATACCAATGATGGGGCACTATTCCTCCCACTGACACCAACGATGGGGCACTATTCCTCCCCCCCACTGACACCAATGATGGGGCACTATTCCCCCCCCCCCACTGACACCAATGATGGGGCACTATTCCACCCTCACTGACACCAATGATGGGGCACCATTCCTCCCACTGACACCAATGATGGGGCACCATTCCTGCCACTGATACCAATGATGGGGCACCATTCCTGCCACTGATACCAATGATGGGGCACCTATTCCCCCCACTGATACCAATGATGGGGCACCTATTCCCCCCACTGATACCAATGATGGGGCACCTATTCCCCCCACTGATACCAATGATGGGGCACCTATTCCCCCCACTGATACCAATGATGGGGCACTATTTCTCCACTGATACCAATGATGGGGCACTGTTCCTCCCACTGACACCAATGATGGGGCACTGTTTCCCCCCTGATACTAATGATAGGGCACTATTCCTGCCACTAATGCAATGATGGGGCACTATTCCTGCCACTAATACCAATGATGGGGCACTATTCCTCCCACTGACATCAATGATGGGGCACTATTCCTCCCA